AAAAGTTTTTCAAAGTAAATGATTTCATAAAGATAAATAAGATGTAAGATCGATAAAGTTTTGCTCAAGAATATCTTACTTAAATGCTCTCAAAAAGTGTTGTATTGAATGCAAAGTGAAATTGTATTTATAGCAATCAAAAAGCCAAAATTTCTTACCAACTGGACGTCCGCTAGGCCAACGGGACGTCCGCTTGGATAGTATTTTCCTAGATTTTTCTTTCTTGATTGTTTTGAAAATGTAAGATTTTGAAAGATGTTTTTATTTAATTTTTTAAGGTAAGTAATACTTGTAAAATGTTTAAATATTAAGTTGGAATTATTACATTTTGAAAAATAATTTTTATGCAAGCGGTTTTATGAAATAATTTTTCTTTTGTATAAAAATTTATCTTTTGAGCTTATAATGATTCATTACTAAGGATTAAAATATTTTGCCTTTACATATGAATCCAAAACATTTAAATCTAATATCTTTGATCGATTTGACATGAATGCTCGATTTGTTCTTATCTTTGATCAATTTGACATGAATGGTCGACTTTCATCTTAATTTTCATTGATTGTCAATTGCGAGTCTATTGTTAGCAATCTTTGGCTCCAATAAATCAACTTTGCAATAATAGTTATGAATACTCGAATTCAAATGTTAGAGATAAAAAATTATTTGTTTGTTATAATCAAAATATAAGGTCAACCATAGGTCAACATATGACACATAGCTAGCCTCCAGAATAAGGCAAATACCTAAGGAGAAGAAAATGCTATAATGCAATATCCAGCCTGGTCCCATATGATACCCCCACCATTAGCAAAGCCATACTTGACGCATGCATTAGTGTTGATCTTATAGGATCTCACTGGCGAAGTGCACCAAGGACCAAAATTGATGGTGATGGGGGTAAGGAGGGTCATTGAGATACAGAAAAGACGAGCAAGAGCTAAGTCTCCCAGCCAATGTACAGGTCGAAATAGACGACCCATATAAAGAAAGGAAGTCATGCAGTATACTTTCTATATGATCTGTCTAGACACAGTGCGAATCTCCACGTGCTTCGCATCATTCTTCTTGGTCCAAAGAAATGTTCCAAGTGTACATATAAAAGGACGGAACTAGTGTTAGATTTTAAGATCTGAAATTTAGAAAAGTCAAGAATGTCACATAACCAATGGTTTAATACAAAATATGGGCTTTCCTATTGAAATTGTCGCCGAAAAAGATATTATAGAATAATTGTATTAAAAACTATTTTCTCGACAACTTTTTATGCAACATAGAATGTCATATAAACAAGAATTAAAGGGAAAGGATCTTATTTCCCAATCTCCT